TACATAACTGTAGAATCAAAATAAAAAAAAATTTATTAAATTTGGTCAAGAAGTTACTAGATATCTTTGCTTGTGAATAACAATTGGGAAGGTACGTATGTATATCAGCCGCCTTAAAAAAATGATCTAATTTTAGCAAGTCTAAATTTTAAAGTATATACTATATATTAGTATATATATATATAGATAGTTGTACAAAAAATTCAAAAAAATTACATGCGTATATTTTTTGCATAGTTAACACGAGTGTTTTTTGAAACTAGAACCTGGTAGATCATAGAGATCTGGGTGAGTCAGGTAAAATTTTTTGCCGCCCTGCTGTTTTTAATCTCAGTCAGTCCGCAAAATAAAGTAAAATTTACTATGATTTTTAATTTCGTCTCGCACAGATCTCTAGTGGATCAGATACATTCTATATATGGAAGAATAAAAGCAATAAATAAACTTCATGCTGAAACAATATTTTTTTTCAACCTGTTGTTATCGATTCCAGACCACGATTTAAGCCGTTTTCGGAGGAGAGATATACGATATAAAACTATTCACAATTTTCATAGAGCACGCTAACGACACTAACATTAAGATTGGCTATCTAATTTTGGAAAAAGTTGGAGAAAACTTTAATATTTTCGGTATATCGATATCTAAATAAATTATGTACGTACGTGCTTTTGAATACATGTGTTGAGGCTTTAAGAAAAATGTAGACGATTGGCAATGATTGTAATCTATGAATTCTAATTGATTAAGTAACACTTTTCTTTACCGATTATAAATCAATTATAAAAAAAAATTTTTTAATGATTTCCTTAATGACACTTAATTTCAAATTTTACTAGAGATAGAGATGATATCCTTTTTTTTTTTTACAACATAAAAAAAATAAAATACTTGCTAATTTGGATCGTAGTTATCGAGAAAATCTTTGCGGTTTTTTTATGATAGTCAATTTTTAATAATTCTATTGTATGCAAAGATTTTCTCATCAACATTTCTAATAAAGGTATGAATTGATTAAAATATAGATTGTACGTATAAATTATGATATACAGTACAATAATAATAATAAATAAAAATCGATTCGTTTATTAAACGAATATAATTAGGAGAGAATTTATAATTGAAAATTGTTTAATAAAAGTTTAGTAACCCAAACGAACGTACAACCTACATAAGATCAACGAATGTAAACGATTTAAGATCGTTAGTAACACTATAATTCAATACATATTATACATATTGGTTTACAAAATGGGAAATAAATAATGGTACAGGATAATATCCAAACCAAATAAAAATGTTAGGACATGTTTATCACACGGAATTTACCGATTTTAAATAGTTTTAGCGCGGATTAGAGGACATAATAATGGTTTTAATTGATTTTTTTTGTTTTACAAAGAAAAACAATAATGAAAAAAGATTTATTTAACAAAAATGGATACGAAACATCGGAAGAATCCGCCGTATAATTAGGCGAATTCCGGGAATAAGTGTGTTTCTTTTTCGCTTGTATTTTTTTAAAAAATAAATGAAATAAAATGCTTTGCCAATTTTGGAGAATTTGGAGAAACATTTTTGGGTCGGGCTTGGGAAAAAAGCCCAGTAAATTTTTTTTTATCAGAGATATCGATAATATCGATATCAGATATTATGCACATGCTGAGTAACGTGTATGTGGGAAGATTTTTCTACAATATCACGTGAATTTGTAAAGGCCATTATCATTATTATCGTTTTATCGTTTATCGTTCAGTAAGAATTTTTTTATTATCGTTATAATCGTTATTATAAACTATATAATTTTATTATTACGTATTGTACATAATATAATATTGTACTTATTATTATTATTATTATTATTATCGTTATGATTATTATTATCGTTATGATTACTACGTATCAGTTATTTATTGATTAAAAATCCTTAAAAACTACCGCTACGTACAATGAAAAATTCAAATTTAATTGAGCTAATCGAGTTTTAAATAAAACAAAAGCCTGAAGTGGAAAGTAGGCCACTCCGTGGGCAAAACTTTAAACCATTATAATAACTATATTGTTCAATTTAAGGTAGCACTATAATCTATTTACAGAAAATATAAATATTGGACGACTTAGACATTCTTTGATTACATTGATTTCACGTGAACATTAAAGTATTTTTAGATGATCAGACGATATCACGTGAAAGCCAAAAATCAAAAATAAAAATTTTAAAAGGTAGATTCTCATAAGAAAATTTATGGTCACACTTATTTTACCTAAATGGAGACCCTGAGTCATTTAAGTATTGGTTCCAATTTTTTTATAAGAATAACGCAAACGATTATAAAATATTGATTTAAATGATGAAAATTATATATAAAAAAATACTTTGATATACATAATGCATGCGTAGTTAGGCGTTCTAATAAATATTAGGAAAGAAAAAAAAAATCTGGGAAAGCTTACGTATATCGAATATATCTATATATATATCGAATATCGAATATACTGTTATATTCGAATACGTACGTATATCGTTATTGAATATATAGTTATATTTAATTCATATTAAAATTAATTAAATGGTCTTGTGACTCATATTATACAACACTGTGCATCAAGATATACTTTGCATATCGCTACATATAAAATAATGAACATAATTGAATGGAAGTTACATAACATTTAACATTGTAGTCAAATAAGGAAATAACAAAGTGTGGGGTAAAAATTTTGTGGGGTGAGAAAGTTTCTTACCATTTTTAGCTTAGATAATACTGAGCGTCTCTAATCATTGACTTTTTATCATTGACTTTATCACTAAAGTTTTTAATTGTTTTTCTTATTGAGAATCGCTTCATATAAATCCAATATGAACAAAGTGTTTGTTGGCTTAGTGTTTATGATTTGGGCTCAGGTATGACTCAGAGTTTCAAGCCTCTTCGTTTTCAATTCAGTGAAAACACATGATTTTACAAATGATAACTCGGTTTCAACTCGGAACTACTGTATTTCATTATATGTCATGAGACTGCTCCTTTGCTTCTTCATACTATTGTGCCAAAATTGAGTTCCCCAAAACATGGAAATTTTAGGTCATATGGATCATTTAACCAGTCGCAAAGCAAAGTCAATGGGAAGCAAAAGTCAATGAGGAGGTCAATAAAAAAGCCAATAATATAAAGCCAATAATATAATAAAAAAGCCAATAAAAAAAAAGCCAATAAAAATGTCAATAAAAAAGTCATGAGGAAGCTATTGTATTTCTTATTTGTTCTAAATGAAAATAAAAAGTAATGCAACAATACAGCAATACAGAGAGATACAGCAAGAGTTAATAATATATGAATGTTATTGATCATAAATTCATGATCAGACGCCACATCGCCGTTTATACAAAAAGAAAATAGCATTATTTTCTTTTTACCAAACTCGCGAAGCGAACAATATATGCATGCACCCCACATTTTTTCTTTTTTTTTTTTTCCGCAAAATTATTATTGTTATTATTTTATCATGCAGGGATTCTTTATCATTCTTTGTAATTAATTATCCAGTGAATATAGAAAATATAGATAATATGATATAATATTATTTTGAATTTGTTCGTGAATTAGAGTGTACAGTATGTAGTGCTAGCATTTATAGTCTATCACGTGCATAAACACTAAAGTTTAAAAAGTTTGTAACGTACGAAATCGAATAGATAGATCAGATGATCTAAATATTGTAAATGCAACAGGTTTTCATCATTACGTAAATGCGTACTCTATGTTAGATTGCGTAATGTAATTCGGGATTTATTTTTATTTTTACTTGTTTGTTTAGTTAAATATATTACTTAGCTTTTTCAAGTGAATATGATAGAAAATTTAATATTACTAACTTATTCAAGTGAATATGATAAAAAAATTAATTCTTTCGTCAGTTTGCGTGAAAGTTTGCACGGAGAAATATACGTCATCGTGAAAACCACGCATAAACATTATAAACATTTGTTACAAACAACTGTATTATACTATACAAAATACTGTAATATATTATTATTAATATGTAGATACTTTGACAGTTTTTTTTATCATTCATAATGTAAAACTCAAACTCAAACACGTATGCAACTCTAAGAAATTAGTATTAATTTTTTTCTTACAATTTATATTTTTATTGTGCGTTTTTTTTTTTTGAGTTATATACAAAGAAGATGGTAGTTAAAAAAAAAAAAAAAAAAAAAACATGATTTAATTTTTTTTTTCTAATAGTAATTTTTTTTTAAATGTCCCTGCGCTATTTTTTCTTAATTTTTTCTTGGAGGAAAGGGAATTCATAATGGAAATATATATATATAATATACGGCGAAAATGGAAGAAAAGGTACCATAAAATAAACAAATATTTGTCGTAAAAAAGCATATAAATTTTTCGTCAAGTATTATTGAACATAATAGGCGAAGATGTAAAAGTGAATGGGTACGAAAAAAGGTAAATTAATAAATGAAAGTAGATGAGGATTGTGCGGTGTTGTTTTTGTTTTTGATGGAGAGAAATATAGAATAAACGATCAATTATAAGAAATATTAATAACATCAAGAATAATAAAAGAATAATATCGAGGAAATATCGAGGATAATATCAAGAATAATATCGAAAGAAAAAGAATAATGTCAAGAATAATGAAATAATAATATCAAGAATAACATCAATAATAATATCAATATTTCTTTTTTTTCATTTTTTTTTTCATTTTTTGCTTTTTTTTTTGTTTTTTGTAAAAAGTTTATAGATAATTATTTAACAAGTAATCCTCCTTCAATGCAAAGAGAGAGAAAATAATACAAAAAAAAAAAAAGGTACAAAACGTAGGTGTAAATTCGTATATCCCATTCAATTCCAAAATCCAACCCAATTTTTGTTCCTTTTGCTTATTTTTTGACCTTTTTGTTCCTTTTTTCACTTTGACCAAGAATAATTAAAAATGAACTCCCATATTTCTCCTTAATAATAAAAAGGAATGTTTTAAATATTAAAAACCATACTAGAACACCAATTTACAATTTCTCGAACGTTATTAACCATGTTTACAGCTCTGTCCACAATCCCTTGTTCATTAAAGTCACCTTGTAAAGGTTGTATTATTCCTAAATCTGGATTATTTGGAGCGTTTGGTATTGGTGGTGGTATTGCTGGTGTTGGTATTGAATGTGATGGTGCTTCAAAACAACCAAATCCCATGTCAATGTCAATATCATCAACATCTAAATCATCGTCATCAAATGTCCAAGGCGGAGTTGTTGAATATGAAGAAGTAGATGAAGTAGTAGTGGTTGAACAACGTTTACTACTTGAATATACACCATAGTTAATAGAATCGGTTTTTAATTTTGTGGGAGCAAGTTTACATATAGTTGAACAATCTCTTTTTTTCTTTTTTAAAGAAATGTTCATCTCTAAACCTTCATCACTGCTACTACTATCAAGATCAGAATCGTTAAGATCTTCATCTTCATCAGCAGAATCTACAGCAATACATTGTTCAACTTGGTCATTAAAACGAATGTGATGTTGTTGTACAATACTATCTTCAGCGACAGGAGGTAAAATAGATGATCTTGTAGGACCAGCTAAAGGAGTAGAAGGACCCGATATTGAAGAGCAAGTAGAAGAAGTATCACAATCACTAACATCACTATCATCAACTTTTTGAAGTTTTTTATACAATTGAGTGTCGGAGTGACTAGAAATTAAATGGTTCGTGTCCTTTGGACGTAAAGTTTCAGGAAACGATTTTTCCTTTTTCAAACATGATTTGTATGATTTGTGACGTGCTGAAGAAGGCATTAAATTTAATTCGTCTTCGCTCGTAGGAGATTCTTGACAACTTGTTTCATGTCCTGAATGCCAAGCAGTATGTAAGGGGCCATATAGCCAGGTTACATCACTGTCTTTAAGCCTATTTTATATCAATTTAAGTATACGAAATCTTGTTAATATATGTATGTTATATTTTTATATATATATATTTATTTATTTATATATATCAGAAATATATCATATCTTGAAATATATATATTTATATACAATATGTAAATATACATTCAAAGATATAATATAATATATGTAAATATATATTCTAGATATAATATATGTATATATTCATCAAAGATATTCATCAAAAATATTTAAAATATATTATATATATATATATATATATATATATATATTCATCAAAGATATTTAAGATCAAAAAAAAAAAATACATACCAATTAAGTTTTTCAGGGTTTACAGTTTTAAGTTTATACTTTTGCTTAGCCCAAGTTCTCCAAGAGGCATTCTCTAGGCGGATTCCATTAGCGATTTCCTTTTTCTGCTTTGACATGACTCGCCAAGAAGTCCAAAGATCATCCTCTTTATTCCACTCATGAGAAAGATAGTCAACACAAATCTTAGGAGGACGTTGAAGGATACCGTTATCGTCAGGTGTCATTATTACAGGTTGAATAGAATGATTATAAAGTATTTGATGTTGGTTTTTATTGGATTTTTCAACAATAGGTTTTGATTTTAAAGTTTTATTGTTAGTGAATGCAGAAGTCTTGCGGGCAGAAACTGCCACGCTTTCGTGGTTTGTTATTATCGAAGGCAGTTTGATAAGAGGTGTGTTGACTATTTTTAAAGTCGAAAACTATTGATAAATATGAATAGTTCGAGTTAAAGAGGATGGAGGAGAGGTGAGGGTGAGAGAAAAAAGCGGACCGCCTAAATATCTAGAAAAGAACCGAGAAATATTGATAAATATATACTGTAAGATAACGCAACAATACTGATTAATAAAGTAACGACAGATAAGGATAGCCGAGATAAGGAACTTACTTTTTTTTTCTTATCGATTATGATATTAAAGTTTGGAAAAACCAAAGACAAATTTAAAGAAAAAGCAGGGTAAGTAAAAAAGTTGAAGGGTTTTTATGGGCGAGAGAAAGATTAGGCTAGGAATTTTTTTTATTTATATAATAATATAATAATATAATTATTTCCATATATTTCTATATATATATACGTATGTACAAAATACACAAAAAAAAAAAGAGAAAAATATCAATTTTTTTGTCAAATTGAAATATTTTTTTTTTTTATTGAAAGGAGCCAGTTTTATATTTTTTTATAAATTTTTTTATATTAGTCGATTTTTACAATACTTTTTTTTTTTTTTTTTTTTTACACTATTATTGTAAAAATAAGTATATTGAAAATTTTCAATTATTCATTTAAAACGTTCGAATGAATGAATAAATAAATAAATAAATAATATATATATATATATATTTAAATATAATAATTTTTTTTACAATAACCCTTTTTTCTCATAACTTATCTTCTATATCAATGGTCAAAAATCAGTACCGTACATGCCGCGCAAAAATTGAAATCCGAGGTAACCAATCAGAAACGAACCCGAGACTCACCATGACTAAGGAGAAATAATCGGAATTTAACGGAGAGATTAAAAATATTAGAAATATTGTGTTAGCGGATCTAATTCCAAATATTAATAGAAATTCCCTTCATCGCACTGTATGCTACGCCCGCAGTATTCTTTATATAATATATTAAAAATATAGAAATTATAATAGAAATTTATAAGTAAATCACCACTAAAAATAAATAACAGGCAGCAACCATTAACAGGCAATGAATCATCATTTTTAAGGAACAATTTAGGTATATCTTTCTTGATTCTCCTTGATAATTTCTTGAATTTATAATACGCATAATATATACTTGGGATTTTCTTGGGATAAACATCTTAGGATATACTTTGGGTATCTTGGAAATTAGAACGACGTATGTAGGTACGTATGTATCTGGTATGTACTGTACATACCCAGATTCCAATACATACAATACATACATATCTAGTAATCTACAGTGGTATCAAATATGTACGCACGTAAATACTTACTTACTTAACAGTTAACAGATAGATATACTTGGTCACGTGCTTTTAATCGACACAAAAATTTTGCGGATATTTATTTAATACAATGATCACCGCCGAGCCAGCACCGAGTAAAAAATTTGGTTAGCAAAAACGTGTAAATGTAAAATAAAAAAAAAATTAACAATAATTCAAGGATATGCATTTTATCATTTTAGCTTGATATCGCGTTTCTTTCATTGTTGCTGATTTTCTCGATAAGAAATTGATAAATAACGACATTATCATGATTACTTGAGTGATTCAAAATGGATAACAGCATACGATAACATCGATAAGTTGTTAATCTTTTGGATCTGTGCTTTAAATGCAGAGTCGTGCAACTTTACCCCGCAGATAAAAATACCTTTATATAGTTTGAGTAAACCTTTAAAAATTTATTGACCTTCACCAATAAACCCTTCATTATAAATACTATGTCTGAAAAGTTTCAACAATTACCTGAGCGTACTGATTGTATATATAGGAATGAATTTTCCATATTCGTATATTCAGTTTATGAATCTGAATTTCCCTTTGTGATTTCTCAATATCTTTCGTATTTCCAATTTTATTTACTGTTACCTCTACGTACGTATTATTAACGTCTCCATACTTGGTAATTCTTTTGTGCCATAGTTTACTTTTTGTAAAACGTATCATATGCGTATCAAGTATCAGTATCAGGTATGCGATTAACGTGTACGTACAATTTTATTCTGCGTACGACAAATCTATAAGATTTTCGGCCGTACTCCTCTACTACGTCCGTCCGTACCTACTTACGCAGCTAAAATACCAAATACGTACATACGTACGTAAGTATGTACGTACGTACCAGGTGCCTACTTGCTACGTATGTACGTATCTGGTATGTATAAGGTATCAGTGTGTACTAAACTGTTAATGTACGTAAGTGCGTACGTAAACTTTTCGTTACGCTTCATTCTTCTCGTAGCTACACACTTACGTTTTATTTGTTTTATCTGTGTAAAAATAAATTTTCCACCTTCGGGCTCTTCTGAATGTGGCTTAGCTTTCATTACTATTTATGCTATTTTTTTCTACTGTATGTTTATATTGTATAAGTGATGTCATCCTGTTTGTATAAATGCGCCCTTCACTTTGTATATATTACCCTCGTTAGCGTTCTTGTGTTTCTTTGTCACGTGATACATTTGCCTCAAGCTATCTTCTATCAAATTTGTCTATCATTCATTATCTGAATGTTACCTCGATGTACATATAAGTACTACCTATTAAAGTACTACTCTGTACTCTGGGAGTTTAGTACGTACTTTTCGATGAGAATTTTTACATTGAAGGTGTTACTATCGCCATATCATGAATATCATTCAGTGTCGACAAACAAATTCAAAATTTGATATCAGTAAATCACCGTTATCTCGAAACGTACTAAATGTGAAACCTTAATTTAGCTTTTCTAGTTTTTATTATCTTTTATTACACTGCATTTCTTTCATTTTGCTTATCTATTCGTTGTTACTTCGCGTTTTGCGTTTGGCGACCTGATAAAGTCCGTATCTTAAGCATCGCCATTAACCAGTATTTACGAGTTAACGTGCTTATTTAATCGTCTTGTCACATGAAATGCTATTTTCCTATCCATTCAAATTATACTTACAATATTTCTTACAAATCAAGTTTTATTAACCCATGCGTTCTGTATCTTATTTAAATTATTTAAAATATATAAAAAAAAATTTTTTTTTCTATTTTAATTTTATTGTTATCCTTATTTGGTTCTACTTATTATCTTAAACATTTTCAAAAAATTTTCCCTCAACTTGTCGTACAAAATGCTTTTAAACTCCGTCTATCCTTTGAATTTTTCGGTTCAACTACCCATCATACCCTTTTTTTTTTTTTGTGACTTTATTTTATTCCATTTTCATAAATTTTTTCATTCTTTACAATTTCTTAGATTGGTTATTATTTTTCTTTCTTTCATAAATTTTTATTTACAAACTATTTGTTTATCATTTCCATTCGTTAAACAATAATATCATTGTTATCGTATTCCATAGTATAGTAAGTTTTCTATGAATCGTTTAAATTGGTTAGATATCCTTTTTATTATTTAAAAAAATAAATAAAAACTTTTTTAAATATTTTTCTAAAATTGTCTAGTTGTTTTTTTTATTTGTAAACTTGACATTATTACATGTACTGACTAATGTTTGATTTTTTATTTATTAATTTCGGATGTTTTAAATATTGCATTTTTTTTTAAAAAAAAGTATTACTAACTTGCTCTTTCTTTTCGATTCGGGTAAGTATAACAAGTTAAATAATTATATATACTTTTTAATATATATATATATTTTAAAATCATAATTTATTTACAAAAACTAAATCTATAATAAAAGCAAAAACATTTAAATTTTTATGTTAATAATTAGGTGCACGCTTTTTTGCAGTTTTAAAAATTTATTAAAAAATTCAAAAAATTATAAATTTAAAAAAATCTTTAACAAAAATTTATTTAATGTTCTAATTTACTTTAATTTTATTTAATTTTTTTTGAGATAAAAAAGTTATTTTAATTAAAATTTTTTTTAGAATTTTGAGTATATAAATATATTTTTTAATTTAAAATAATGTTTTACAATATATATTTAGATTCGAAGATCTATATATATATTGGGATTTATAGTGAAAGTACTGTGCTTTTGGTACTATCTATACTAGATACCTGTACCTACAACCCAAGCTAGGGTTATTTATTTAACTCTTTGGCAAGTTATTCCACCAAATTTAGAATCTAGAATATTTTTACCAAAATTTATTGCTCTTTTACCTTTTATAAAAGTAATCTTATATTCAATCTATCTTCTAATATGCTAGATTTTGATTATAATATTACTCCAGATAGATGTAGCAACTCTGCTTTGAATTTTTATGTAGCAGTATATATAGTATATACTGTATATACTATAGTATATTACAGTATATATACAGTATATATACAGTATATGGGGTTGAGTCAATAGAAACCAAGCAAATTTTTTTTAATAAGTTTTTTTAAAATTTTAAACAAGAATAACTTAACAAAAACTTGAT